GCAGGAACTATTATCAGTACTTATTATTATTATCAGTTTAGTTCTTGTAATAGGATTTTCATTACATCCGTTTAATTTTCAAGATTTGGACGATTAAAATCCTTGCTGACTGMCGTCATATTATCATGGAATGAATGTTAATTCATTATTCCATGAATGCACTTATAGAATGAGTTGTATTATTATTGCTGTTATACCTAAGTATTTAGTCATATACCTACCTAACTATGACATAATATTATTATGAAAATCTATTTCATATTATTACATACAATTATTATACTATCGATGGTTAATTAAACGACTATCTCAATGAATTGGTTAGGTATGCACTTTTTTTAAAAACAAAGTCATCACATAAACGTAAGGGAGGAGGGATCGGTTTGGTCAAAATATGATTTTCGTTTCAAGCATAATGAAATTGGATCGATTTTTGTTTTCTCATATTTATTTCTACCAAAATTATTACTTATTAGTGAATAAAAAATCACCAGCCATAATTATAAAAATTTAAAAAAAAACCCATCTATCACATTGTATTATACTATAATGGTAAATGATAGTATACTACCCTATTTGATAAATCAAGCCTATGTTTCCTGTTTTGGCCTGTCTATCTATACATTAAACAAGAAAACAATCGTATCATTAATATCCAATTTACACAAATCATTAAGTGAGATGCATTCTGCTGCGATGCGGAGTTAAATCATTGAGTTGCAAACTTCTTGAACAATATCTTTAATTCGATTGTATGTAGTTTAATTTAGTCTGGGAGCTGTTGGTAGATAARAATAAAATTGATACGGTAGTATCCCCGTATGACGACATTTATGTTCCTTAGTAAATATAACTGCTAAAATCAATAGTATGAACAAGTCCCGTCGTTAATACTAGTTCGAAATCTAGATTAATGATACTMTACTTTACCTGATGATTTAGTATTTGCACAACGAGATGAATTTATTTGGTCTTCCGATGGCGTATTTTCCAAAACAGATTTCGTTTCATTCTTTTGATTACTTATTTCAAAAAAGTTAATGACAGAGCTCGAATAGAACTTCTTTATTGCGTCCAATTTAGCCTCATTTAGTACACGACCGCAACCTTCAAATCGATAATCACCTATGTTTAATGCAATGTTTAATTTGTCATTTTTGGATGATTCTAGCTCAATGTGAGACCAATGGCATAAAAACTGATATGACTTTTCAAAACCACGCAATATACGAARTCTATCAGTTATAAATTGTTGATCGATATGATCTAAAATGTTGGTTACTGGTAACATYGATTCTGCGTTTTCGGAACAGTCTAAAATAAATAATAGGTAATATTTATATTAGTACATWATCAATTTAGTTGTTTAAATGTTTAATGTCTATAAATAATARCTATGTTTAATGGTAGCCAGCCTAAAATAATCACCCAAACGTCAAAAAATAAATGTATAATATTGTGTATCATACAATGATAATTGTACCAATCGTATGTAAGCACACCTAGAGTAGCAATAGAAGACAATTCGACATTTCAAGTTCATATGTGTTTTTTTGAAAACGTGTTAAAAGCTAAAATTGTAGAATTTTATAGTATTTAACTGGACAGGATGATGTGACTATAATATGGTGACTAAGTTGAGTGTATACTAGGCAGCTATAATAAATAATGTAATTATACCATACCTGATGGCTGAATATTCTCAGTAAAATTAGATGTATTTTCCAAATAATTTGATGATGCATAATTTTTCATCAAATTTTCTGAACTTCTTATTTTATTACTTATAGTGTTAATTTTTATAGAAGAAATAATTGCAGTGTGCTTCCTTATTGCATCTGATTTAGCAGTAGTAACTGAAATTCCACAGCCTTCAATCAAATGTAAATCTATGTGCAAATAAATATTGTATACATTTTTGAATTTATTATAGATCATAGGAGACCATGATGCTCGAGGATAGATCTCACTGAATTTGCTCAGTGTATCGTTATCTACATCTTCAAATGTATTAGCCATTTCAAAACGTAAATTTCTCCAACTAGATATTAGGTTGATGATTTGGTGGTAAGTAATAGTTTCTGGAACAGTATAATAATAATAAAAAAAAATAATTTATGTTAAATAAACATTAAGATTTTTTGGTTTGAATACATATGTTGATTCCATTTTATTAATGTGTAAAATAGGATATTTCACATTTTTACGCTAAAAATAATCCATTTTTCTCTGTTGCCTTAGCAAAGGGGTGATGTTTTGATTTTACAATTAAGTATGTGTATGTGTGTTTTTGATTGTCATCAGTTATTACCTTTTGATCTTTTGGGACAATAAAAATGTATACATTTTTACTTTAACGTGTTAAAATAAATGGGTTTAGTTTGTTTTTTTGAGAAGTCAAAATTAAAAATGCTCAGTGTTTCTCTAAATAATTTAAAAATGGGAATCATAACGTAATACCAGTTTTGATAATATTG